CCTAAGAACCTAGGCCCTAAATGAGTTTAATGACGATCCCAACGGGTTTAACATATCAGGTCTGGATAGTAACTCGCTAGCTCGGATCGTGAGACTGTGACCCACGGTTCTTTCCCGCTCTTTGATACTCACGATCGTCACTAATCGAATTGCACCTAAGGCCACGATACATCCTTATAACTGCACCCCACAACTCGTATAAATATATCTACAGTACCATAAGAGGGACATTTCAGAGACATTCATACGCAACCTAAGACATTCATCATTCCATACACTTTGGCCTTTATACCATCGATACCATATCATATCCACTCTTAGCGTATCCCACACACCTACCCAGTCATCCTAATATCATAGTTGGTGTTCATTCTGAACATCTTCATTATTCTTGTAATATAAAATACTTAATACATTGTTATCAAAAAAAAAATAAAAAAAAAATACTTAATACATCAGTTAAAAAATAATCCATCTAATGCTTTTTATTTTGTTTTAATGGAATTGTGCTCCTAAATTTGTGCTTTACTCGTACTTAGATACACATATCTCATGCTAGTATTCCTTGGGCATACATGATTAGGTACCCTATACTTCGTAATTTATTTATTTTTATCAAATTTGGCTATCAAATTATTTGTGGTACATCTTGGTCAATCATTGCAATTTGCAATGAACCGTTGTCACATAAATACAAGTGGATCCTTGTAAAATATCCAATTTTGTTATTAATAAGTTTGGTTTGCTATTAAATAAAATAAATTGCGATTACACCTTTTCAAATATTGCACCCTCTCTAAATATTTTTTGGTTACTTGATAGTTTTATGATTCTTTGCTAGAAAACTCAGAATTAAAACATCATGAAAATTCAAAATTATATTTATATCTGATTATTTAATTAATTTTATAATTTATGTTTTTATTTTATTTTATTTCTATATAATATATCTTCTTGTATTGTAATTATACATTGTGCATGTAGGTGGAACTGCATTAGAGTATCGATACCTATTTTCGTTATCGAGTTTTATTAAAGAATTTTAGAACAAATTAAAGGAGTTGTAAATTTATACTTTATTCACATATCTAGACCACTTTAAACTGTGCTTATGCATTAACCTATAGATTAGGAGTTTGCTTTAAAAGACAAGATTCCTACACGAAAAGGTTGGATTATCACTTTTGTCTTCATTACGTACAAGCTATTGCATATACACATATCACGTATGACCTTATCATTCGTTATTTCTGTTTTGCTGACAAAGCAAATGTGGTACTGTCCGAATTCTTGAATGGTTTTGTCAGCACCTGAATTACTCGAAAATGTGTGCTTAGTGTTTACGAAAGTGAAAAGAGAGAGAGATAGAGAGGGAGAGAGAGTGAGAGGGCTAGAAATTAAAAAAAAATTCAATTTGGATTATATAACGCTGTGGTTAGGATGTAATTAAAAATATTATCAAAATGGTGTGGTCATAATTTGCATTCCATCCTTAAATTTTTGCTGAAAATAAAGTGAAAATACAACATAAACTTTTTTTAGAGTTTAGTTTTTATGTATTATTACTGTAAAATATTTTATACTATTATTTAATGATGCCATATCATATCATTTAATAAATTTTATAATGCATGAATTATTGAATTCAGTAATAATGTGGTAATGTCATTAGACAAAGATGTAAAACTTCGAACAATTGTTATAAAAAAAAAAAAAAAAACTTCGAACAATAACATAGTAGTCAACTTAAAGTAGGGGTGGCAATATGGGTTGAGCCCGGCGGGTCAACCCGTCAACTCGCCAAAACGGGGCGGGTTGGGTTGAGATTTTCAACCCACCTCAACCCGCCCCGCCTAGAAGTGGGTCAAAACGGGTTCAACCCGCTGCCTGCTGGGTTTTAATTTTTTTTTTTTTTTTTTTACAATTAGGTAGTATTTCATTAGTACTTAAATTTTTGTGATATTCAATTTTTTTTTTATCTTAGTACTTTCTAGAAAAAATAAAGAATAACAATTTTATTTATAACAAATGTTATCTATTTATAAATTCCTAAAGAATGTTTGACAAATATTAGTATACATTTAAGATTGAGACTAAAAAAAAAAAAGAGAAGTGTGAAATAAAATAAAATAATATTAAAAAAATTCATAAAATATAATTTATTTTTGAATTTTAATTAATTTTTTTTAATTGGCGGGTTGGTGGGTTGACTCGCCAACCCGCCAACCCACCATAAAACGGGGTGGGTTCATTTTTACAACCCATATTTTTTGGCGGATCAACCCGCCCCGCTCCGTTTTTTACGGGTTGGTGGCGGGGCGGGGCGGGTCGGGAGGTCAACCCAAATTGCCACCCCTAACTTAAAGTATTTGACGGATTTTTTTTAAAAACTTTTATTCTGTTAAAAAAAGTTTTTAAAAGATATACGCAAGTTTTAAAATATTTTTTATAATGAATAAAATAAGAAAAAGTTAGAAGCTCCCGAGATATTTTTTTTTTAAGATATACGCTAAGTTTTTTTTTTTTTTTTTTTGTTCTTGTATTTTTTTTTTCAATTATATCTTTATTTTGAAATTATATTTACAAATTTTACTCTCTATGTTTTTGACAAATCATTCCATCTCCTCCTCCCTGCAAAATGTTGAGAACGTCATCAAGGAGAATAAATAAATTATTCTTAAAATTTATTTTTTTCTTTAAAATCTTAATCTTTAAGACTTTATCATTTCTTATCATGTTTGTGTTCATCCAAATCATAGAGGTTTCTAATACCTTTTATAGTAATTTTAATTAACAGAGTTTACGAAAGTTATTTTACCAAAGAACTTATTTTTAGCTTGAGGTTTAAAATAAATTTTAAGATAAAAATTTCTATAATCACAATCAGTTTTAAACTTTATTATTTTTTTTAACCAGGTAAATATAATTACTGGAAAAATAATAAAAAATAAGTTTACTGATAAAGTTGATAAAAAGTTGTTTGGTAGGATGAAATATTACCGGGAAAATTAAGTAAGTTTTCAAAATCTATGTTCGGTAAAAAGTAAAATATTAATGGGATAATTGGTATAAATTACGAAAGTTGGCATTGTAAATTTTGAAACTGCAAAATAAAAACAGTAAATCAGGGGCAATTTGGACAATATCTTCATACACATTTTTTTCTTTCCTAGGCAACCATGAAATACCACTCATGATATGGGTATCAAGCACACTGCGATTGCTGTAATTTTTCACATGATTTACTTTGCCTGGGTATTCAATATAGATGGCATAATTTTTTTTAATCTTCTACCAAACACTGTAATCTTCAAATCTCTGTTGAATTTGCCTATCAATTTTTTAAGAAAACCGGTACCAAACGTCTCCTTAGAGTAAGTGATCGCTGTAACAATTTATTCAGGTAAATAATATAAATATTTTAAACCAATTAATTAATAATCTTTTACTTTCTCACTTATAACCTCGTTACCGAGCAACAGATAAAAAATAGAACTTCTCAGAGTCAATTTTTTTTTTTTTTTTGGTTTTATAGGAGTGCTTCCTTTTATTTGGATAAAACTAAGTAGAGTGTAAAAGTTTATACGATTGACCCAAATTACTTCTTTTTAGGCATTTGGGTATTTTTGTTGAGGTGGTACTGGTAAATAATGGTGAAATACACATAAACATGTCTTAATACTTTGTCAGCAATCCTGTGCTATAATTTGACTTGTTTTTAGAAGGTAGAATTTATTAAACAACGTTTTTGAGAAAGAAGAAAAAGAAATTTGCTTATTTATTGCAATCTTAGAGGCCCATTTTAGAAGCGTATCAGGCTTCCAGCCACTAATAAAATTTCATATATGTTATTTTCATATTTAACATGGCAGCTCAGGCTTTTGGATTGTCATTTCTTGAGCCCATATCTCTAGTCATTTGGATCTGACTATACACATGGGCCTAACTTTGCAACTTCACCCTTCACTGTGTTAAGCCCTTTTACCCATGCTACGCTTCAAATAGAGCAATTCAAAGTCAGAGTAGAAATAATTTTATCTTGGAGGTACACAAAAAATGTTACTAGAAACTTTTTTTGATTGTATATAGTATACTAGAGTAGATTAATTTGCTTATTTTCTCCATCTCTCATTTTTTCTTAGCACTGGTACGAGGAGTCTATGCGTGTTAAAAAAATATTATGCGTGTTAAAAAAATACAAAATCATTAATAGTGCCTTACTTAACAATTTAAATTTTTGGGTTGAAATAATTCTTTACTTGTTGAAAAACACTCTTCCTAGAAATATTGTTTTATGAGTATGTTCCAACTTCCAATGTTCTGATTTGAAATTCATACAAAGATTCCTTTCAGATCAAACATAAAAAATAATTGGCAGTTTGGCAAGTCTGTCAATTTATGAATACATTATGGTGTGAAAGACAATGACAAAGCTTCACAAGCTGTAGTTCTTTGTGAGAACAGATGTAGCAATCTTGGTGGAGGAGACTTCTTTTAAAACTCCTAGTTTCTAAGAAATTCTTCCAAGTAAATATTATACTTAAAGGGTTAGTATGAGTGTCCAGCGCAGCCAAGCATAGAGTATCACTTTATTTTATTAAAAAAAATAAAAAATAAAAAATTAAACAAATGTAATGCTTAGAAGAGCCAAGTTTGCCGTCATGCATGATGCAATAACCACTGTTTGTATTTATTTATAGTTAGTAATAACCAACCTGCGCAGAAATGGACAACAGAAAACAACAAATAAAGTTTCATATAATCCTAATCAAGAAATTCAAATGAAAACAAAACAAGACAACAGTGTCATTCAGACACAAGTTGATGAGTATATAGTTATATATATAAGCAATTTTTTTTTTTTTTTTTGCTGTAATGAACACTTTTATTTTGCTGGTAAGGACTGATCAAGTTGAAAAAAAACAACATTTGTGTACTGATTCATTTGCATGAAGTTAATACTACAAAAGAGAGAAAGAAGGAAAGTGGACCACCAACAACTAATAAGGAATAACCTCATCGTTCTCAAGATTTGGTTGGGTTCTAATCATTGGAGCTAATGGCAATTTAGTTTCTCCAATCCAAAATGTATCAAAAGGCTCACCTCCTTCTGAATTTCTCTCCATTTTTCTTATTCTTCTCCTCTTTTCTGCTTTAACTAAAGCTAGCAAAACCAAAGCCAATATGACCAACCCAACAAAACCTATTACAAAGCCTAACACCCACCATATGGTAAATCTCTTGCTCTGACCCCTGGTGTTATGAACTTCTTTTGGAGATGGAATTACAAGAGTGTAGTGCCCTTGGCTTTGTGCTTCACACACATATGGTTCAGTCATGTTGTTGAATTCCACAGAACCATCACCACTAAACTTGGCACAAATTGGTGTATTATTTTTCTCATGTGAACCAACTTGAGGAAATTGAATTGTGATGGGGTCCCCTTGGATGATAAAGTTCATCTTCTCACATTCTGTCAATGTTGTTTCTGAAGAACTGTAAGCCATAAAACCAAAAACTGGAGCCACCATTGTGTAGTTAGGCACACTATAGTAATGAGAAGACCAATTGCCCAAGTTTTCATACAATATACTCATTCTCTTCCTATTAGGCTGTGGTATAATCCGTGGTGGAAGATTGAAGTAACTATAATTCACTCCTCTTAACCACAAAGAGACAGTGCGCAATCTAACAACTGAAACTTCAATGCCTGTGAAGTTAGCAGGAAGGGAAATATTGTAGAATGCACCTGTTCTAGGCTTTTCTATCTCTTTCTTTGCATGCTTGCATAGAAAGGCATCCAATGATTCATGGTCAAAAGTATGTAATTGTGAACATTCAACAAAAGATGATAATAACAAAGAGACAATCACCCATGTAAGTACTTGCCACCATTTGTTGAGCCCCATGAAAGTCACCCCAAAAGCCTTCTTCTTCTGTCTTTAATGTTGAATTCTTGAATGGCTTTCATGGAAACCCATCTATGAACCAAACCCATTTAAGCCTTCTATGACACAATATTTTCACCACTCATCAGTGGAAAACCAAGTTTTCTCACCACAAACTTGGTTTTCTTTTCTTCTGATTTGATTGTAGAGAGACAAATGTTGAAGTTAAGGACACTTGGCCTTTCTTTCTCTTCAATCTTTATACAAGAGCTTCTTATATAACACAAATGCCACCCCACAATCAGATTCCTTCTTCAGACAAGTCTTTGCAGAAGAATAATAATGTAATGAAGTGTAGGCACTTAATGGGTTTGGTTGGGAAGGTAAACCTTTACCACCTTATTATACAAATGATTAGGTTCCAAAATGAGATCACAGGTCTGAATCCTTCAACTAGTGTTATATATTCGTCCAGATCCAAGTGGAGTTTATTGTGCCTAGAAATGAGGGTTATATGTGGAAGAATAAGGGATGTGGGGACATGAGGTGATGAAATATGAGTTAAAATGTTCTTTTTTTTTCTAATGACATTGGTCAACACATGAAAAGGGTAAGGAACCTTTCAGAGTTGCTGATGCCTATGATGATGATGATGATGGGTATTAATTTGTTATTGACTTCTTGTCATTATTAATTAATGGATTCTTCAACAATAAGAGGGTATATTTATTTTGGTTACGTTGTTTTTGGTTCTTCTTTCATGCTCTATTTAGAGTTGGTCAAAGAGATAAAGGGGAAAAGAATGAGTTGGTCATCACCTTTGCCAACGAGGACTTAGGTGTAGTAGTCCCCATATGAGGTGCGGAAGCTATGCACATCCAATTATCAAATCCTTATTTTAGGCTAAGAATTCTCTAGAGCGGCAAATTAGTTGGTCACTATCATTGTTGTCATTTGTTGAAGCAGTGAGGTTTGAAGCCTAAACATGAACTAAACTAATTTTAAGTGCTTCATCAAGATTCTCAATTAGCTATTAAATACCCTAGTTTTTTTTTTTAAAGAATGTAAGAATTAGTTTTACAAAAATATATTTGGTGAGCCTAAATTTATGTAATTTTAACCTTTAATAGTTGGAATGCTAAAACACAAAAATGAAGGAATTTTTTTTTTGAAATATTTGTTAGATTATATACGTTGTTAATTAAAATGTGAGACTTTTAATATGGCCAGTAAATTAAAATTACCAAAAATGCTTAACCTCCGAAGTTGGATTCGTACAACAACACAGATGCATTTGCGTTTTTTTTTTAAATATTCCAATCGGTTCATCATTTTGCAACATTCGAAGCCAAGTCCCAGAATTAAGACTTTAAATTTCTCGTAAAGATGATACTGAAGAGGATCGAACACATTATCTCTCCCCCACCTGCTAAGTTGCTTAGCGCCAACTAAGTTGCCATGTTGTTGTTGTTTTTATTTGTTTAGTAGCTATGCGTTTGCCTTTTATTTGCCACAAGCCCACAAGTGTGTTGGTTTTCTATTCTCTTTTTCTTTGTTCAATTCCAATTTATTTTATTACATTGAGTGTCCTTAATGATTTCCAATTTCCATGTCAGTTGGTGAACCATTCCCAAAAACAACTTCGGGAAATATAGCAAGCTGAATTTTGGAATAAGACTTTTTAATTTTACACTAGAGCCACAAAATTATTCTTCCTATTATATAATTATCTAAATTAAAATAACAAACTATGCTGACTTCCCGAAATAAATGAACCGGCATAATATTAAATTTGATGACTTAACCTTTTTCTTGCCTACAATTATGCAGGCAAATGTTAAAATCATCCTAGACTTAATAATTATGTTGTTATTATCATAGCTATACTATATTGTAAATAATTTGTTTAAATTTTATTCTTGTTAGCGAAACTCTCCTTACCAAATTTTAATGCATTTTTAAGGATCTGAACTCGAGATCACTAGTTAAACCAGAACCACCTTTTACCGGTTAATCCAAATGTTTGGTGGTCAATGATGTTTTCATATTCATCTTTGTAAAGTACACATATAAACAATAACTGTTTCCGCTTCAACTACACAGTAAGTTCAAATGCGTGAAAATTGGCAACTTTCGACTTATTTTGGATCAAATAATTCAACGTGCTAGTCTGAATTAATAATACCTTATGAAGGACATGCTTTGCAAGGATTTAGGATATGCACAAAGCCTAGAATATTCAATTAGTGTAGGCCTGTTTTCTTAGTAGTAGTAGCTCGTGATAGGAGGATTCGTGGGGATTGACATTGTGTAGATATATAAAGGTTAGGTCTTATCTTCATTCCTAATTGAAATTGTTTCTCATTCGAAAGTGTATTACTTGGAGAGAAGATTTAACTTTTCTAGATCTTCCAACCTAACATGGCCAACACACGGAGGCAATTGGTTGGAAGTGCAAAGTGTCAATTCAATTCAAAAACTTAAATTATTAGCTGAAAATCATATTAATGATTTTATATTATATTTCTCCAACATGCCCTCTCATACAAGAACCTAATAAATTTGAAGGGTGAACAATACATAGGTTCTGCCTATCTATACTAAAAAATTTCATAATATTTCATTATTTATTTATAAAATGGAGTGATAAAGATCGAACTAGTGAATAAAACCATTAATATATGGCCTTCACCTAACACGAATCATGTTACATTTCGGTGTTCTATAATCATATATTACTTTCCCTAAATTTCTAATATATGGAAGAAGTAAAAAGGTAATGGTTTTTCCATTGAGAGCCACATACATATAATTTGCTACATTATTTTAACAACGAAATGGGGTTGATAATACAAGAGAAATCGAGGTTGAGAGGAATTCTATTCTACATCAAACGATACATATGACTCTTATACAAGAGATACAGCGAAACAAAAACAAATGATGTTCAAGGAAGATTAACTTCACTTGGTACCTGCCAATACCGTTCGTTCTATTCAGTTCCAGCAATTTTCTTCTTCAGTGCCTCAATATCTGTAGCTAGCTCCTTCCTGCTAGACTGTGTAGAAGTACACTTATATTACTTACAGAGATATAGTGTTTAAGGCGCATGATTAGCCAACAAAAGTAAGAATTCTGATTGCACAAGTAGAATAGAATAAGTAGATCCAATTGGAAAAAAATTCACACGGAAATTTTGGCATGGCCTGACTGAAAAGGGAAAATTCCAATACACAAAGCTTCTCGACTTGCAAGGGTAGGGGTGAGAGTCGGCTTTACCCTTGCCTTTTTGCAAAGAGTCTATTTCCTAGATTCAAACCTCAGACACAAAGAGCAACCTCACCTCTATTCCAAGGCTCGCCCTCCGTAAAGCTAATTGATCACTCCATCACTTTTGAGTATTGCTCATTTACCCACAAACAAAACATCTTAGAACCCCACACACACACAAATAAAACATCAATGGAATCTCAAGCCTTGATATACACAACCACCACTTATGTCAACAAAACAAAACGTGTTAGATTCTTAAGTAGTAAAGTATTGATGGTGTATTTTACGTACCTTGAACAGAAGGTATCGGTAGACAAACCATCCAGTGTACCCTAGCCCTACCAACTCCATAATCTTTGGAAGCTGAAACATAAATAAAATTATTTCAGATTGGGTCACCAAGCTTTCTATAGTATGAAAACTCAAGCATAGATGCATGCTAGCTGATGGCTCTACCTATATGTAAAAGTGAATTATATTCAACAAGTGTGACGGCTTACCAAGGGAACTGAGTTGATGGCACCCACAAGAATTGAAGATAGCCAAACAGCAACTAAAGCACCACCACCATAGAGAAGTACTGTGGACTTGTTTTCAACAGCATCCCACTGATTATGATAAATGGAGAATATTATTTCCACTTGGTTAAAACATTAAAACAAAGATCGCCAAAGGGATTATTGGAATTGCAAGATCATGGATTTTCCAAAAGGAAGTTCAGGACAAAACCAAATTGTTGAAATTAGCCAATTAGTAAACTTCTTGCCTTTTCCTTCAAATCTGTGAACAACTCATTAGCATCTACAGAAGTAGATGTTTCCTCTGAGGAAGCTCTGGTCTGAAGCAGAGAAGATTTTCTGGACTCTGAAGGGGAGGAAACAAGAAACTAATTTAGAATTATGAAAAGACAAGTAAAAAGAAACACATAAAATAAACAATACGACTGAGCTAAAAAACTTAAACATTAAAAACACAACAAACATTAGAATTACAGACACAGAAGGCTTAATTTAGGCAAAGTATGTTATTGGTTTTAAATCATATTATTGTTGCTAAGTGTATAAAACTCTTAAGAGAAGCACTAATCTTTGGTGGGCATTAATAGTCCCTTGCCCGATTGACATTGTAGAAACTCACTAAATTTTCTGGATTAGACTTTGCATTTGGCCAACAAAAGTATCCACTATTAATGATGTTTACCACTCTAAATTTCAAAATGCAAACATCTTTTAGTTACTTAGCAAGACAATGAGCATCACCTAGAACATAGTCAAGAAACATGGAATAAGTTCAAATAAGGCACATGACAACCCGATCTCTCACTTAAGTTAAACCACTCACACTTTAGAAATCCAATCGTAAGAATTTAGATAATAACGGAGAAAAATAAACACAAAAGGAAATGGGGGTGGAAATGAAGATTGCCTTAATTCTCATTCCCACATATTGTTCCATGAGTAAAAAAGATATTACAGTTAGACAGCAACATATTAATGAACTCACATTTCAAATAAAAAACACAACAATGTAAAAATCAATCATACTTACTATGGTTTCAAGTTAATATTTCTGTGAAAAATAATAATAAAGCAACATACTTTATCAGTTTATATAACTCAAACCAAAGCTAATTGAAAACTTTACACCCCATTGTTTTTAAGTCACCAAGTTTGCAACTTTTTGGGCATAAATTCAAGATTTTATCCCTGCAAAAGAAAAAAAAAAGGAAGATTTGAAGATTAAGACTAAGAAGAAAAAAGAGAATACCTGAAAAGTGTTTGAGGGAAGGTGAAAACACAGGGGTGGCGGTGGAGAGGCGAGGAGGGAGACAAGGCAAAGCAGAGCAGCGGGTAACGTTGGTGGTGGTCGGAATCCTAGGAGGGAGGAGCACGGTGGCTGCTACCGCTGCCATTTTTTATTGTTATCTTTGAGAAATGTGAAGAGTGTGATACCTATAAGCCTATCTCCAAATAAATTTTTTTAGCACTTTGGTTGGTCTGACTTTGTTGCTACTTAGATTACTTCAAACTCAATAGATATTTATTTTTATTTAACTTTTTTTTATGAAAAATAAAAATAAGAGAAACTCATGTTGTTTATTGACTTGTTATCCATTATACTATGATTTGGGACACTGATTTCAACAACTTGACACCTGGATGAACCTTGCATTCTCATTGGCTACTTCCCTATCTTCAAAATCCACATCTCAATTTCTGTATCATGAATGTACGACTTGTCTTCTCCTTCAAACTTGGGCCAATATCTGGGCCAGCCCATTGAATTATTCTCCAATAGCCCGGCCCATTGAATTCATCACTCTCCTCTTGTCTTGCCCTACCTTCTTATTTTCCACTTGCAGAAAACCAGAATCACTTCACCACTTCAAAGCTCCAACGTTTTGAGGCACGAGAGAACAAAACGACACCGACCCATCACCCCAAAAATGCTGCGCCTCATAAAGCTGAAACCTTTATTGCATTCACCAACTTCATCTCATTCGGGTCACAACCTCATCCAACGGTGCTCCGTTAGCGGCACAGCGAAAGGGAAGGCGAAGATCAAAGCGGGTCAGTCGCTGAAACGTTCGAAGATCACAGTCAAGAAAGCCGGATCCGATTCCAAATCCGGACCCCCAGTCGGGTCGCGCGAGAGGCAAGAGCGCGAGCTCCTCTACGAGCAATGCCTCAACGCACCAACACCAGTTCGCTACCTCACCAAGAACCAACGCGAGCGAGAATCGGAGCGCGAGAAATTGGGGTTGATGAGCAAGGAGCGGCAGCGAGAAATTGAGATGATGAAGAAAAAAAACAACAAGTTTAAGGTTTCGGAGAAACCCACGATTATTGGGACACCGGGTTTGGACCTGATTACGCTGGGTTTGGTGGAGGCGGAGAAGCTTCCGAAGTATGAGTTAACGGTGGAGGATGGAAGGAGGTTGGCGAAGGAGTATAGTAGGGTTATGATGAGGAAGCATAGAGCGAGACAAGCTGCGGAATCGACGCTTTTGAGGTTGAAGAAAGAGGCCATTGAAGCATTGCCTCAGCATTTGAAAGAAGCTGCTTTGGTACCTGACTTGACCCCTTTTCCTGCGAATCGTTTTATGGCCACTCTCACTCCTCCCATTGAGGGTTATATTGATAAGGTCAGAGAAGCAGCTAACAAGATCAGTGGATCAGAGAAGATTAGATGATCGCAGGTTTGGTCAGTACATGTTTTTGTTTTTAGGATTATGTTTGAATTGATAGAAAGAGATGAAATGGAGGGAAATGTAATAGAATGGAATGGATATTAGTTGTTGTTGTTTAAATTGTTTAGAATAGGATGGAATGAAATGGGAATTTATGAAATATATTGCATCTTATTCTATTAATTACATTTATTTATTTTTTGGAGAAATATTCTCTAAAGTAAGCTTGTTTGCAAAATGCAGAAGTTAAGATCACAACATAATTTAGATTAAATTAAGGATATGTTTTTCAATAACATCTCGAAGATCCCAACATTCATCTGTGGTGTGGCCATGACCATCATGGAACGCGTAATATTTAGAGTGGTCAAATCCGTCCTTTGAATGTCTCCATATCCTGGATTTGGAGGGAGATGACTTAGACCGAGCTTCTTAACGTAGAATACGTAGTGGAGTAGTGGGCAAACAAAAAAGGGTGGGGTTTGATTGACCAAATACAACTTCTTGGATTTAATTGTTTAGAAAAAAAAATTGAATCATAATTCGATACTATTCGAGAGAGACTAAAACAGAGTGAGAGTACGACTCGATTAGTATAGAGGGGGTTTTGTAAAATTAAGCTTGTTTGCAAAATGCAGAAGTTAAGATCACAATATAATTTTGATTAAGGATGGATGGACTTGTGCACTTTACAGATTAATTTACTTTATTGGACTCTTAATCCTTAGTTTTTCTTCTCTCTCAATTTGGGTATAAGATGTAACCAAGTTATTATTTATTAATCTGTTTACTTCACAAACAATAGAATGGAAACTTTCCTCCTTTCTATCATAAAATATCCATACAATGGAATGATAATTCCGTTCTATACTTCTATTTTATCTCATTTCAGTCTATTTTACCCACAATTAGATATCTAAAAATAGGTTAAGTGATATTATACTGAATGAAACTTATGATTTTTTCTTGTTTGGAACAAACGGGAGCGGAATTGCCCTTTGCAGTTTGCTCAAGCCACAGTAAGGGGGGTTGAATATGTTAAATGACTAGTAATTGCACTGATATATATATATATATATATATATATATATAAAAGAGGCAGGATCCTTTGACACCGGTGTCAAATTTGAAGTTTGACACTTCATCTGAGAGCTATTAGATCAAAAAAGATCAATGGTATCACATGCTTATAAATCAGAGTCGTTGATCTTTTTTGATCTAACGGCTCTCAGATGAGGTGTCAAAGGATCCAGCCTCATATATATATATATATATATATATATATATATATATATATATATATATTATGAAAGAAATTCAATAGAATGTCAAATTAGTGGCTTGAGCAAGTGATTCAATTGTCGGGTTCTAACTTTTTGTGATGATAAATGTTGAGTGGAAGAGGGATCCTTATATAAAATCGAATGAAAGCACCATATCAAGGCAGAAAAAAATTACACAAAAGACCTGAGCTTTGCTTTGGCTTTCTACAGCTTTAAAATTTCATGTTGGCATGAGTGACTCATTTTTGGTTGATTCATTCCCGGTGATTCATGCCATAGTCACCTTTACTTGCTGTTCTGTTCCTGTATCCTGATTCCTGGAGATTCTGATCCTGTATCTATGTACACATTGTATGCTGCTTTAAAGCAATTGTGTGATGAGTGTCAAATTAGGAGTATGCTATGTACCAATAAATTGCCGTTAGATGCCTCTTATACTGTCTCCATTGTGAGTTTTGATGCTACTGCAAATTCTTCATTAAAAGGATATTAGGTCATTGACATTTTTTTGTTAAGATGGGATTGCACTGTTCTCTTCCCTCTTATTTCCTTCGTATTGTGATAGCTTTGATTGTCAGTTATCTCTTTTAAAACGAATGAGAGAAGCTTAATCATAGCTGTACCAACTAATTTGTTTGAATAGCAGGTTCACCTTCAAGTGGCGGAAGCATTTTTCTTCTAATGTGGTCGGCGAGCTATGGAACTTGGATTCCTTAGGTTGTGGCAGAATCTGAAAATGTGGAGCTTATTGAGTAATAAAAATTGTTCTCAGAATGGTAGTTTAGAGGAATAACTCGTGAACGTCAAGTACTTCAAGTCTTTCTGTATTTTCCCTTTTGATAGGAATATGTGAATGAGTAAATCATAATTTTCCTTTTTCTCATATAAACTCCAGTACCATAATCTCCCGTGCTCATCATTTGTATAATTGTGATGTGCTTCATCAATTTTAAAACTTGCATCTTAAGCATTGAGAGAATTTTTTTTGTTAATTCCCGGGAATATGTTAGGAAAGTGAATTTTTCATAAATGTTATCAAAAAGCTGTTTGGTAAGTCAAAATATTATTAGGAATGTTGACTCAAGTTTTCTGATTTTATGTTTGGTTAATTGTAAATATTACTCGGAATGAGAATAATTTTACAAAACTAATCTCTATAACCCACTTTCCAGATAAAAAATAAAAATAAGCATGATTTCCAGACTCGATAAATAATAATTCCAGTAACAACGTTCTTCACATTTTTATCTCCCCTTTCTTCATCATCACCATCTTCTTCGGTTTGTGGTTGTTGCCCGCTCTCAACCCACATATTCTGCATTGCCATTCTCTCCGTCTTGATGCTCAGTCTTACGAGATCTTTTGTTCTTGCGCGGTTTCTTCTTCTTAGTTTGATCCTCAGACTCAGGTAAAACTATTCTCTCTCTGTCAAATGTCAATATTTAACCGCTCCTTAAATACATACTGATTCTATAATGGGCATTTTTTTTAATACAAAATATTTAAGACACCTATATCCCATCAAAGTTAGGTAAGGTAAGACCCTACAACTTGTTTGAAAATTTTCGAGAAGAATTACATATCACCTACCAATAAAGATCTTATATTGGCCAGCAGGGTTTGAACCAACGCACTTAAATGATATGGACCAAATCCTTAGCCAACTGTATCCGACTCTGCTGGCCATTTTTTTTTTTTTTTTTGAATTATACAATTGAGTGGGCAAACTTAAACAATTTTGTATGTTTTTGGTTGAAAATAATCGCTTCTACATCTACTGTCTTCCGTGTTTTGTTTTTTAGATTCATGTATTTATAAACGACTTTTTGAGATATTAACCATAATTGACTACTCAATTATCTAATTCGAATTGAATAGAATCATATAGATAATAGAACCATATAGGCAGTAAATTCTTTTTTACTAAATTATTTCTAATGTAAAATAATTCTTTAGCAGTTGATGCACATAGTATTTATGAACAAATTTGACACAGCGTGAATGAAACTTTGAATTAGGCGGAGCGTTTTATTCCAAATTTGTTTAAATTGAAGCATAAACGTAACATTTGAAGTTGGCTTTTATTTAAGGCTCAAAATAAAAGCATCTTTGTTTCTAGGTCAAATCATTTCTACATTTGTGGTAGAAATTATTTTTCTGCCACAAACAATCAGACACAAAATAAGAGTGGGCTCTATGTTGGTGTCTCTTTCTTCTTTATGATTTCTCTCTCTCAAGTGTTTGTGTCCACAGATACAGAAATGATTTTATGTTGTTTCTATTCACCCATGACTTTATAATGCTAAAATGGACGATATTCAATGCTCGGGAGAAAACTGAAATCGTTGGTTGCATAACTCTACACTCAGTCATATTTTTTCGCTTAAAATCATGCCAGTTACCAATGCTGTACATCTCCTTGCAGTTGCTAGTAATGAACTACAACAATATTATACATTACTGCTTAAATTCTTGCTCATTAAGAACGGTGTATATATATATAGCTTAGTGCAATCTGGTCTGCACTTAGACATAATAAAATAGAGAAAAATATTTATGCAGTCACTGCATATAAGTTATCTGTATTTTTTCCAAAACGACATCGTTTTGGTATTAAAATCTTAAAAATTTATAAATATAAATATTATTATAACTCTGAAATAAATTAAAATTATAAAAATATCACGATTTTCGCCTAAAAACAACATCGTATTGGACTTACTGCAAATTTAACTGTCGTAACATAACTGCAGAAGAAGCGAACCCAATAAACTATACATTCTCCGCTCACGACTTATCATTACCACATAAACAGTAAGACAAGGCCTACGGGGAATAGCAAGCTATAATACGTATGGAATACTATCATTAACTAACCATAGATACACAGTTTACAATTTACACCCACACCACATTCATGAAGTAACTCCATAAATACATTCAGACGATGGATGACGAAGATCAACCACTCAAAAGAATGGGAAATAAAATTCCAAGATATATCTTTTACGTTTGAGACGCTGATAGAAATTTTGATAAGTGAACCCACACAAGGGGCACAGTTCTCTTAGCATCTGTTTTTTTTTCTTCTATTTCACAAGACTCGGAACAATAAGTTCTCAGCCATTAGGACCATCAGTCATTGCCCATTGTGAATGAAATTCCATTATATATCAAACAAATAAAATCAGAGTAATACACATATTCCATTATATATATTCATGCATGACTATCCTTAAAAAATCTAGTGACATCTCTCACGAAATATAAGATGGAATCATGTTCATATGAACATAAAGATCTGTTTAAATATACCAGCCACATAACAAGATCTTCGAAAGATTCAGTCAACCTTCCCCATCTCAGCTAAGGGTGTTAACGAGCCGAGCCGAGCTTTGCTCTTAAAAGGACTAAGCCTGTACTTAAATGTGTCAGCCTGATCAAGTGTGTTACCTGTTATAAATATAATAATTGCTGACTTGTGGCCTGACTTATTTACAAAAAAAATAAAAGCCTGATTTAGCCTGTTAGCCTGTTTTAAGAAAATAAGACAATAAAAATTTATCCAAACTGAATATATAATCAACAACACTGGTAATTCTATAAATATTTATAAATTCAAGTTATATCAAAACAACACAAGATAGAACAAAATCATTCAAAAACTTTGTTTAACCAATAAAATGAGATGAAATGGATTAAGGAGAAAGAGAGGGCTATTACAAGCAGTATAAAAAAATATAAAATAAAATAAAAAAATAATATATTAGGTCGGCCTGAAAGGCTCTAAGGCCGAGCTCTTGAATTGAAATCTGAGGCCTTTTTACTAAACGAACTTTTATACAAGTTCAAGTCTTGTGCCAATAACCAATTTTAAACATGTAAGCTCAGACCTTCACGAGCGGAGCGAAAAGCCCCTGACTTGTTTAGCACCCTTGAGCCTAAGGGCCTGCTTGATTATATTTTGATTTTTTATTCTTAAATATTTTTTTGTAAAAAAATTATTTTTTATATTTTTTAAAGTTAAAAACCAAAAAAGAAAAAGAAAAACAATCCAGACATATTTTTTAAATTTAATTATAAAAATAAAAAAAATTCCAATTTTTAATTTTTTTTTTTTTTTTTTGCATAACAAGCTTCACAAACAAGTTTTTTTTTTTTTTTTTCTGAAAATCAAAATTATTTTTAAAAACTGATTTCAACCAATCCCCTTAAGTCGCTAGAATAAGTGAAACATAACAAACAAATCCCTATACTCACATTCTATTCCGTAGATCATATGAACATTGCCGAGGTCATTAAACGAATCCTCTGCAATTATATTTTGAACCGACAACCCACTAGCCTATAAACAGCTTGCTTCAAAGACGGGAAATAATCCATCAGCAACTATGAAAGACTGCAAGACTAAAGACTCCTATCCAATGTTTTAAAACTCGGATCGATCATCGACTCGATCAAGGTATTGAGTTACTGGGTCAATGGTTCAATTGAATTTACTATTCACATATTAAAAAATATAAACATATTACTTATATTAAAAATTCACATAAGAAAATTACAAATGAGCTTCAAAAAATAAATTGGTTCTCAATGATAACAAATATTATATACTTTTAGGCTTATCTCTAAACCTTATTCTAACATTGAATTAAAATTGTAATGTAAGCTAAATGCCCCTTTTGTGCCTCGACATAACACAAATAAACTAAATCATGATAACAAATAATAGGCATGAAATATACACTAAGAAGAAAGTTTCTATCAGATGAGACCATAAGAGTTTATCCAACTTAACTTCTTTAGATCATTATAAGATACAACTAAATTAAATAAACGAACTGCACTAATTCAAAATACCTTCTTATTTTTACTTTACTTTTTAATCATATTTATTACAAAATATGAAAAAGATTTAATTCAAGAGTTCATAACAAACAAACAAAAATATTTAAAAAAGAAAGTTTTACAAAAAAAAAGATGGTCAACCGATCTAACCTGGGTCAACTAGGTCATCGAGTCTCGACCGAGTCAACCGATTTAAACCAGGTTGACTGCAGAACCAATCCAAATGACGGCTCAGACCGGGGAACTCACTGGGTCACCGAGACCCGGGTCGAACCGGCCAATCCGAGCCGAGTTTTAAAACACCGCTCCTATAAATCATTCCACGGAACAATGATGATATCATCATACAAGATACGAAATGCGTGTTGTGGGGATCATCATGAATGGGCCAAACTAGATCAACCACATTAAGTGGGTCCCAACATCATATCTCAACCCAAAACCTTAAGAATTGAATTCATGAATCCATCTACTTATATAGTCTTCACTTATCCCATATCAATCATCACGGGACTCAATCACACCTAAATATGCCAACACATTTCACATAACAAGCTATTGCCAAAAAACACAAACATCACTCTTCCAAAACCACCACACATTTAAACCAAACTTCCTGATAACATAGTTTTCCCTTACATACAAAAAAAAAAACTTCCTGATGACATTACATCCTTCATCCGATGATGAAAACAAAAAAAAAACAGACAATTTCAATGACATAGGTCAAACACCTCTTTCGGCTCAATACAATCGATCAACACATCAAACTAAATCAGATATCTTCATCCTCATCCCAACCCCAAGAGCTAAAACCACTATCAAAGTATACCCATTTCTACCATCGAAGAATCCACATGGTTATTTTTTTTTTCTCTCTCTCATCAAACAACACATCACAATAAAAAACCAACACTCGGGGTATACTACCACTCATTATTACATCAAACAACAATTAAAACAGCAAAAAATAAAAAAATCATAAAAAAATAAACTAAGATAACTGTATCACTGTATTCAATTCAAACTAACCATCCACTTGTTGTCAAAATACACAAAAACCCATAACACCTCAACAAAGTTCCCAAACATTACACATATCATTCATCACCATATAACATTGTAATTTTAAATTTTTTTAACAAAAAAAGAAAAAATGGGGGTATAGGCAAGGGAAATGGAAAGTTGGAAACCCTAAAGAGCTTAAATTTTATCAATATCCTCATCCTCGAACTCGATGTAATCGTTACCAGCACCGTCCTCGTCGTCGTCGACGCCACCGCCGATGCCCTCGTTGATCCTGAAAGATTCCGGTAGCTCTTTGTAGGCCTTGAGGAGTCTGGCCTCGTCCGGCATGTATTTAAGGATGACGTCAGCCTTGTCGTCTTGGTAGTCACGAAGACCAACGAGGATAATGTCGCCGGCGGCGATCCACACCTTCTTGTGCATCTTGCCGCGGATGTGGCAGAGTCGCTTGGTGTTATCGATGCACAAGGCCTCGCAACGACCGTTACCGAGCATGCGTTGAACCTGCGCGTATTCCTGACCGTCCTCCTTGAACACTAGCTCTCTCTTCTCATCGTCTGCTTCGTTCTTACCCCTCTTTCTGTTCTTCCCTCCCTTTCCCTTGTTCTTCGGCATGGTCGATTCAAAAACCCTACCTCTCTCTCTCCCTCTCTCTAAAACCCTAATTCGATTGCGATTTTTGGGAATTATCTGCCTGTGCCGGTGTCTTATGTGTTAAGAGAAATTAGTGGCTATTTTGAAATGGACGATATTAGCGCTACTCTTTTCCTAAAAATGACACTGTTGTCCCCAATGTGAATATAAAGTTGAATTTACGATGATAAGTAAAAAGAAGAGAAAATATTTTGAAAACAGATCAGCTGCCCACAACGTCCTGCATGCTCCTTTCCGCACCCCAAGCACCTAGGAGTGGAAGGAGGCCTAGCAAAATCTCCCTGCTACGAAGAAGTCCTCTTGAACTGACCAGGCGCCTGCTTAGCCGCAAACTGCTTCCCTCTGCCCTTTCTAGCAAACTTCCTGTCTTTCCAGGAAGTGGAACTACTCGTTCCCGTCGTCTCAGCAATCTTGGCCTTACTCGTGATACAGACATCTCGATGTCCAAACACTGCTGCACTATAACACCCCGTGTATACTCGATTTGTTGACATGTCATCGTATTAAGCCACGCTTAATATAAAATGCGGAATATCTTGTTTTTTCAATTATGACGTCATTATACTTAGCCAAGTTGATTACTTAATCAATCTCATAAAAATATCGTCTGTATGTAAATTGCAAAAGACAGCTAACTGAAATACCTCAAAAGATAAATAAGTGAGTATCTAAGTCACGGATCTACAAAACGTAGTCCGGACAATATCCTGATACCTTAATACAACTCGCATCTAAAAATATAAAGTTAAGTCAATGTGGCATGGACAAACCTCATGCTCACCAAATGGACAACAAAACCAACAAGTCTCAATACCAACAGCATGATAATGGAAAAAGCATAAACACTAAGCAGGTGCATCAGCATAATCAGTAAACATGTCAATCAACTAAGCTCCGGCCTCCTGCCGCTAGAGGTCTCAACCCCTGGGTTACATGAACCTGAAATAAGCGCCCCAAACGTGGGGTGAGATCTATGAACAGAAATTTCAGTAAGACAAGGGGTCCTCAACGATCTTCCACCCCAAGCTCACTTACATGTGCAATATAAGTTCCAAAAACAGTTAAACATTATAAGTTCCAAAATAGTGCAATGCAGCAGATAATCATGTCATGTGTGTTATAACTAATCTACTGGCCAAAGAGATGCAGGAATACGTCTATTACCCACACTAATGCAAGACGCCACTTGCACTCACTCACAATGTATACTCTCAAGTGCACAAGATGGAAGAAGAAGAATCAAGAGAAAAGGCTAAGACTTGGTTGGTTTCAAGAGAAGAAAGCAATGGAATAGTGTAACGAAGGGTGGCAGCTCCAAATAGCACCAGAAACTCTACGTGGGAGTGTTTGAATTCTGACCTAAGGCATTGTGCCCTAGTATATAAATAGGTCCACTTAATTAATCACACAGTATTAACAATAATAGTTACGCTTAGCATTTTAATCTCAAATTTGGGATTCTAAACCTAGCCGTTTTTCCAAGATTTATCATATTTTTATTTTATTTTTCCCAGCACCTTTCTGATACACACTTTTCCATAGCCAGTATCAGTTCTGGCACCAGTTCTCATTATTTTAACTTGAAACTTGTTTTACAAGTCCTATATATTATTCTAGTGAAATATACACACTTATCATAATTTTCTGAGATACTTCACCGATACGCATTTATACCGAGTAGCATAATCGGTATCTGCACTTTTCGTCAGAAAAGCGACTTTCAGCATTATTAATCACTGACCAATATTATTTAAGCCTTATCATAATTATTAGGGTCAATTATGAAATTATTTCCTAATTTCACATAATTAATTAATTAACTTCCTTAATTAACGGTGCAGGTTCTTACACATACTATTTGTTATCATGATAATTGATAACGGTGACACTTTTTTCTTAGTGTATATTTCATACATACTATTTGTTATCATGGTTTAATTTATCCGTATCATGTCAAGCACAAAAGGTGCATTTAACTTATATTGCAATTTTAATCCAATACTAGGATATGGTCTAGAGCTAGAAGCTTAGAAGTATATAATATGTGCTATCATTGAAAATCAATTTTTTTTTTGAAGCTCATTGTTAGTTTTCTTATATGAATTTTTATTAATATAAGTAATATTTTTATATTTTTAATATGTGAACAGTAAATCCGGTTGAACCAGTGACCCAGTACCTCGACCGGTTCAATGACCGATTCGAGTTTTAAAACACTGGACTAATCTACTTTGGTGCCATCTTTATACTACCATTATTGCAAATGTAAACTTTGTTTGTAACAGATAAAATATATCAAATGATATTACCAATATATATATATATATATATATATATATATATATATCAAATGAGATGTCATTGCGTAGATCTCGAAAAGTATGTGGAATCAAAAAAAGAATTACTTGATTTGGATACCTGAATCAAAAGTTGTGGCCTTATGAAGTTTTCGGTTAAACTATTAACTTTTTGTGACACGTGTCAACATCAGACGATTCACTCCTAATTTAGGCGTGAATAGTCACGCCTAATTTGAGCGTGAATGAGTGCAATAGATCCGTAAATTGGTTCGAAACAGTAACTTATTCGTAATTATTTATTAAATATGTAATATTTTAATTTTTTTTGCCAATTACTAGGGGTTGTACGATAACAATTTGAGATGGACATGATAGGCATGCTTTTTATCTCAATTATGTTTAATTTGGTGTTCTAAATTCATGTATGATTTGGGTGATATGCTCGAACTCAGTGGCGGAGCCACTTTAGTGCATGCTGGTACCTTGGCACCAGCTCACTTTCAATAAATTGTACTTATTATATATAATTATATAGTTAATTATAATTTATCCCGGGTTAAAATTATAATTTGGCACTATCTAAAAATTAAAACATTTTTTTCAAATACAAGTAGAAATTAAACACACAACTTAATATAAATTAGCCAAACCTCTCACCATTCTCGTGGCTTATTTAAAATATATTTATAAACAATTGTTCCAAACATCTAGCCTATGTGAAATTTTTGCTCTCTATCTCTAATTTTAGTCTAGCTATCAAATGGAGGTAGCTTTTACAAACACGCAATCTGGCACATTGCTCGAAGGTGGGTCTTCTCATCACAGCAGAGAGATGCAAGAAAGGGGGACTGATTTTGAAAGCTTTGAAAAAAGCTTTAAAAAAAGGAAAAAGAAAAAAAAGAAGGGTAGAAAGGAAAAGGAAAAATCTGAGGTTTGACTGCTAGTGATGGAGCTGCTTCCTCTTAGCCTCTTGTAGTCTGGTAATTTCATTTTTTTATTTCGGCGAGCTATTGCCTATTATGTTTATTTTTTTGCATTTTCTTGAGTTCTTGTTACATGGGTTCAGACGTTTCGTACTTTCGTTGGTGTTTTAACTTGATTTGTTTTTAGGTGTCAAGCGCTTATCATTTCTCAAATTGTTTGAGATAATTTTATCTCCGACTACTAAACCATAACCGTACAAAGATGGATCAATAGTAATAAAGGAAAAGAAAGAAAAAGGAAATCATAACCATTCAAAGGTAAATCATTTAATATAAGAAAATAAATAAATAAAACGACGTAGTTTTTGGATGGACGAAGATAAATATATCTCAAGCTGCTCGAGAAATTTTGTTCTCATATATATATATATATATATATATATATATATATATATATAGAGAGAGAGAGATGTAGGATCCTTTGATACCAGTGTCAAGATTGAAATTTGACACCTCATCTATCAAATAAGATCAATGGTATCACATGCTTACAAATCAGAGCCATTGATCTTTTTTGATCTAATGACTCTCAAATGAGGTGTCAAATTTTAAATTTGACACTGGTGTCAAAGGATTCTATCTCATATATATATATATATATATATATATATATATATATATATATATATATATATATATATATATATATATGAGGTAGGATCCTTTGACACCGGTGTCAAATTTGAAGTTTGACACTTCATCCGAGGGTCATTAGATCAAAAAAGATCAATGGTGTCACATGTTTACAAATCAGAGTCGTTGATCTTTTTTGATCTAACGGCTTTCAGATGAGGTGTCAAACTTCAAATTTGACACCGGTGTCAAAGGATCCTGCCTCTATATATATATATATATGGGGAATGTTAAATTTACAATTTTTTTGTTTACAAACTCTTACAAACTACACTATGTCTGATCAGTCATACTTCAATCAAGAGTGTATGACTGGTCGTACTTAGTGTAATTTGTAAACAAAATTTGTAAACGTATCATTCCTATATATATATATATATATCCATTAAACAATCAAATAAGATTTATTGTTGTCATGTTTTAGTATTGTAATGGAAGAGAAACTAGTGCGTGTTTTAATTTGGTTATAGAAACTCATAGTGAGGAAAATGTGTTGTTTATACAGGAAAGTATAAAAACTCATATTTGGTTATAAAAACTCATATTTTACTTGTAATGTTTGTTTCTTTTCCACTTATTGAACTAAGTCTCTTGGTTTGTATCCTTAGGATAATACTTGGTTCATTACTTATTATGCTATGAGAGGAAAGTGAAATACTTACCGGAAAGGTTAATTTCTTTCTATGTTTGCTTTGAAATATAATTATGGGCAATTATTTATTTAAATTTTTAATGTTATGTGACATTATTTAGTAAATAATTTAGATAAACATTCTAGAATTCATAGTAATTTTTGTTCCTAGTAAATTTGGATCAACATCAACAACACCTTTATCCCAAATTAATTGGGGTCGGTGGTAGATGAACCCAAATGAAAGATACAAAAAAGTTGAAAAAAGAAACATAAAAGTAAAAATAAAAATAAATAAATAGAATAATATAAAAGTAAAAGTAAAAAAGAAAGGGAAAAGAAGAAGAGGGGAAACGAAAGGGAAAAGAAGAAGAGGGGACCATCTGGAACATAGGAATAACAACGGGTCTAACCCTCCACCATGCTTATAGCTTTTCTCCATTCCGTTCTAAGACAAACCGTCCGCCAATCTATATCCCACTCCATTAAATCTTGTTTTACCACCTTCCCCCAAGTAAGTTTCGGTCTACCTCTACCTCTTTTTGTGTTGAGCTCTTGGTAACAAACTTTTGTTCTTACGGGAGCATCTAGGGGTCTTCTCATTACGTGCCCAAACCACCTCAATCTAGGTTCTCTCATCTTCTCAGCCACCGGTAGTACTCCTACCTTTCGTCGAATATCTTCATTTCTTATCTTATCCATCCTCGTATAACCACACATCCACCTTAACATCCTCATCTCTGCTACTCCCATTTTATGCTCATGTTGCCTATGTGCTGGCCAGCATTCAGCTCCATATAGCATTGCAGGTCTTACTGCTGTTTTATAGAATTTTCCTTTTAACTTAAGGGGGATTTTGCGGTCACACAAAAACTCAGATGCACTGCGCCATTTCATCCACCCTGCTCTGATTCTATGATTTACATCCTCATCATTCTCTCCACCTTTTTGCAAAATAGAGCCCAGGTATTTAAAAGTGTCTTTCTTGGGTACCTCTTGATCACTTAGATGCACGGGATCTTAGTCTACATCTCCTACTAGAGAAAACTCACACTTCAGATACTCAGTCTTGCTTCGACTTAATGTGAATCCTTTAGATTCCAATGTGCTTCTCCACAATTCAAGTTTTCTATTAACACTATCCTTGCCCTCATCAATAAGCACAATATTGTCTGCAAAAAGCATACACCATGGCACTTCCTCTTGAATATATTTTGTTAGTTCATCCATAACTAAGGCAAAGAGATAAGGACTTAGAGCTGACCCTTGGTGTACACCTACCGTGATAGGGAAATAACTTAATGTTCCGTTACAAGCTTTCACACATGTAGTAGCCTCATCATACATATCCTTGATTACCTTTACATACTTTGATGGTACCTTTTTCTTCTCCAGAACCCACCATAAAACTTTCCTTGGAACCCTATCGTATGTTTTCTCAAGGTCTATGAACACCAAATGTAAGTCCTTTTTCTTTTCTCGATATCTTTCCATTAGTTGTCGCATCAAGAAAATGGCTTCCATGGTACATCTTCCTGGCATAAATCCAAATTGATTCACTAAATTTGGATAATTATGATAAATATTTTGATATATTAAATTTTTTGACACCACCTAAATTTTATTCTTGGCTCCGCCACTACTGGAACTAATTCTGTATTCTATATTTATGTATGATTTGGGTGATATGCTGGAACTAATTATGTATTCTATATTTATGTATGATTTGATGAGTTAGGATATTCTTACTACCCATTTTTTTTACTACCACTTCACTACCACTCTAATCACCATTGGATTAGAGGAAAAGTTCAATGAAGAGAAAGAAAAAAAAAATAACTTTTGAATCCAATGGTGATTAAAGTGATAGTGGAGTGGTAGTAGCAAAAATTGGTAGTAAGAATATCCTACCTCTGATTTGATATGCTTGCATGATATATAGACGAGACATAATTCAAATTTACAAGATTTTGTTACATTATTTGGGGTTCTGTGCTATTTTTCATAATATACCCTGTAGAGAAAATGTATAGGCCATGCAATATCTTACTCTTATACAACTCTTTTATCCTATGTATCCTTATTCTATACTGTGTATCAAAGAAATCCTTAAAGAAATAAAATAATTTACTTGATTAAGTAAGCTTAAATTAGACTAACGAAAGTAGGTCAAAAATAAATTAGACTGTAAGCTGTTAATGGACAACCTAACCGATTCCTATCTATATCTGGAATTTACTTGAGCTCAAAATCAAATATCAACTATATTGTTTTTGTTTATACTTTAGCATATCCCCATTTTTTTTCCATACCGGTCTACGCAAAAAAACTAAACCTATTTTCACCCGTTACCAAATAAACTTGGTACCATTTGAGCATGACCTCATATCACATTATCCTGGTTTTATTCCTATGGAGAATATAATCGAGTGACACCATGAACTTCTAAATATCTCGTGATTTGATCAAGGACTAGATTCACATCCAGCACCCACCGTAGAATTCATTAGTTTGATCCTTTGTTCTAATAGAATAGGATTCCCTGTCCAGCAACGTGCAGAGCACTGGATCACATATTGCAATAGTCAATTCTTAAACATCCTTCACCGCATGCTCTGATCGTACATGCAGTGTCATTATGGATAAGGATGTTCACCCAGTAAATAAAGATTTTCTTAGATTAAGTAAACTATAATTTACCAACAAACACTTTCAGGATGAAAATTTACATTTCCAAAAACTAATGTGCACCTTAATTTTTCAAAAACAAATTCAGAGATTTACTCTCTCTCGAGACCTAGATAGTGCCCATGCACCAGAAAGACTCGGGCCATGTAAAGTATGAAATCAAATCAACTTAGAAACAGAGTTTTTGAGCGAATCACGGAAATAGAAGGCAGGTTCACAGAAGAACCTAGATAACACTAAACATCATCTAGATGATAAACCACGGTCCTGATCATCATTTCGATCTCATGTAACACTAGCCACCTTGTGCACATACCCTGGATATTAAAACTTTTTAATAGATTACAGCAGGTTAACAGAAGATGAGAAATCGACTACTAAAAAAAGGTTAGGGGTACCAATTGGAATGAAAGTTTGCGAATAGAAATAGGGGGTCAATGTCTGATGGTGAGTTCGGCTCTAAGGTGGAGGACACCATTAATGAAGTAAAGACTATCCTCAGCCATGAACGAAGTCCATGGAATCGCAAATAAGTTTCTATAGCCAACCGCCTTTCCCCCCGTGAATGTGTAGTTGCCTTTGTACTTGCTAACAAATTCCTCTGTTGGCCTAGACCTCGCAGCAAATTCATAATCAACTGCAAAGCTTACCGAGCCCTTTTCCTGCATTCCCAGAAACAGTCCAAAGCAATGAAAAGAACTCTGTTGGTCCATGTTGCAATGTGCTGATAGAAAAAACCCCTGTCCACCCAAATGGAATGCCTGAGAATAAACCCGGCCAGATGGGAACAAATTGTTACACTCCTCCCGCTTCAGATCCAAGTACACCACACACTGCTGCCGGGGAAGTTCAAATTCTACCACCTTAACGGGGCGATACTTATATGCCCGCTCCACAAAGCGACGGTTCGAGGAAGCAGACTCTTCTGCTGCCAGTGACCGCTGGCGATGTGGAGCCTCAGCCTTGAAAAATAGGCCCTCAAGTACAAGCTTGGATGCAACATCATGGTCAAAGTCGTTACAGGTTAAGACCTTCTTAAGCTTTCGGCAGGTCATGTAAGGGAAGCGAATTAATCGCGCAAGCTTTGTACCCAGGACTTCTCGCCTTTCTTCCAATTTGCCATACTGTTGTCTAGCCCACTTCAAAACGAAGTCATATACAGCATCTTCTGATGCAACCTGGAGATTGTCACTAGACAATATCGCCTCAACTCCAGCTAGGGGCAAGGCCATAACCTCTTCCTGGAACCTGGTCATATTCAAGATTTATTATTATTAGCATTCAAAAAGAAAAAATGACATTGAGATTAAAACAATAAACAATATAAACAAGAGAAACAGGTATTTTCCAAAAGACCTTTTGTCATGGAATGCCATTATAGAAAAAACTTCTCTAAAAAGTTTATAATCTATGAAGTTGATCAACCAAAAGTAGCAGCCATCCAACAAAAGTATTATTTATAAGGGTTCCTACCATTAAGAGGCAATACACAGACACAAACACAAACAACCACACACACATTAGAGTCACTTTAAATACATGATTCGTTTCTCATGCCTCTCTAGTCTCCAACAAGAGCAATGGAAAGAAACTCAAACAAAATACAACAGAGCGGATACAACTGAAATCAAAATTTTAATATGACCAGCTAACAAAAGAGGAAGGATGAAGAAATTATAAATCCCACTCAATAGAAGAGAATAATCAAAAGAGTTTATAATGCTTGAATCTAAGATAATGTGACTGAAATTAAATAAAAACAAACACTTACTTGCTTAAATCCTTGTAACGACCAGCAAGATACTGCTTTGCTGCATCAGTCAATGGTTGGACTGCATCAGCCATTAAGACACTAGAAGGAAGCTCTAGGTAAAGCAATGCATAGTCAGGAGTCATGGGCATATTCCGCAATAACCGGCTACAGTATCTCATGCATGAAGCAACTTCAAATTTATCAGCAGCCATCAAAACATCCAGCAAAGCAGGTGCTGTAGTCATTTTCAAGGTATTACTGTACATAAAATTCAGTAGCTCCATGAGAGCAGCTTCTTCTGTAACATGCAAAAGAAGTATGGCATTTGTAAGATAACTCTATCAGGGAAAACTAAAATGACTAGGCAAAGAACCAAAAGATGTTCATACCAGAGGCATTGATTCTGAGGGTGACATGTCTCTGTTCTGACTCCCTCATCCCATTTGAGAAAAGCTGCAATAAGTAAATTAACACTGCTAAGCAAACAAAATTTTAACAGAACTATTCAAATTACCCTATAAAGAAGAGAGATCTTCACTACCTTATAGAAGAAAGGACTTTTAGCAGCCAAGATTGGAGAACTAATATGTAGTGTTTTAACTTTAACAAGTGCACCTGCTGAGCAATCCATGCTCCAGTTTGAATCATTGCTATTTGCAGCTTCATCACCTATATTATACCAAACCCGAAAGTGTTCATAGAGTAGAACTGATAACTTCATACTCAGGGAAAGGATATCAGTTTAAATTATACTCTTGTTACAAGCAAAAGGAGAATGTTATGCTTTTTGTAAAACGCTAATTAAAAGCCAAAAAACCAATCCCAGTTAAACCCAACTAGCGAGGATGGGATGGAGGCAATCCTTGTACGCAGTGTTACCCTTGCTTTAATTGCAAAGATGTTGTTTCGGAATCGAACCAATGACCTTTGAGTCGTGAAGGAACAACTTTATCACTGCTCCGGTTCGCCGACTTTGTAAAACACTAGTAACTATATTAAATTATACTCTTGTTTAAATCATATTATGGGTTCGTAGCGATTGATCTTATGGATTGTAGCATTTCATTGAGAACATGTTTACTAAGAGCAACAAAAGATAGAAAAAGAGGGAGGGGATAGGCAAATAAAGTGGGGTGGGGTTGGGGGGAACAAGTAAGAATCTCTTAAAGCATAAAACTCTATAATTCAGATTGTTAAGCAATTCAAATACCTGAAGGGCATTCTTCAACCATTGCAACAGCCTCTTCATCTTGATTTTCACAGGCCACACAATCATCCATATCAGGTTGATTCCCATTCAAAATTTGCTCGTCGGGCAATGGAGTTACATCCACAACTGCTAGCAAGAGAGCATATATTAGGGGTATGGTATGAGAAAATACATGCGCCTACACAAACATTATCCAACACGCACAAAGCAGCACTTTTTAGACAAACATCATTAAATGCATAGAACCAAGCTTTTATGTAGCTTTAGGCAAACATTCTCAAAACTCATAAGTAGAAAAGCACGGAAATTACAACACTCCCTCAGAGTCCCATTTATATCTGGTATCATTTCATTCTGGGAAAACTCGATAAACAGGTTTCACGCGTAGAATCACAACCAATTTTGCTTTTAACAGTAAAAAAGCTAGAAACCCTTGAAGATGTATCGAGCCAAACAATGAAAAGAAAAAAAAAATTCAGTTCCATTTCTCCACCGAAGATTTTCCAGAAAATCACAGTGACAGAGAGAGAGAGAGACCGTTTTCCTTCTTGATATCCTCGCGTCTCCTCTTGCGGTGGCGCGCCCAGTCGGCTATGGTGGTGACACCCTCGATATCGGGTCGGGTATCAACCGGATCACACATGATCTCGATCCGGAGAACCCTGTCGGAGAAATTACTGTCGTTGAAAGCGAAGGCGAAATCGGCGTCGGAAGTGGAACTGCCGCGAGACCACTCGGACTCCATCACCATAACCGGGTCAAACAGATCCGAAATCGAATCCTTCATCGACAAAGAAGAACAAAGAAGAATAACAAAACCCTAAGATGAGGTTCAAAGAGGAGAGAGAAAACAGGTGAGAGAGAAAGTGGGTGTGTGTGTTTTTGTGTGTGACAAATAAGCTTTCAAAAAATGAAAAGATGCAATCCATAACTCCAATGAAGTTCATCTCCAAAACAAATTATTATTATTATTAACCATTAATTACTGCTACTAGCCTACTACTACTCTACCAATGTTATTATCAATTAATTTTACCATTAGATTGATTATATTGATCCAATGGTTATATTTATTTTTATCTTTGTATGGTTATGATTTCTCATATTTAACATTAAATATGAGAAATCATAACCATACAAAGGTAAAAATAAAAATAAAATATTAAATATGGGGAATCATAATCATACAAAGATATAAACAAATATAACCGTTAGATTAACATAATCGATCTAATGATGAAATTGATTGGTAGTAACACTAATTGGTTGTTACAATATTATTTCCTTTATTAATAATATTAATATTTTTTAATTATATAATAAATATTTATTTATTTCATAATCTTCACATTTATTTTATTAATTTATAAGTTAATTTATTAATGAATTCCCATGTGTGCAGAGAAGAATGGATCCAATTGTGGGAGAGGTCAATTCTGTAAGGCACGGGGCACGCATCTTTGGACTACAAAATATTGAAATTCTAGTACCATGACTCATTCTTAATTCTTGGTCGGTAAAATTTTCATATTTTTGCTTCTATGTAATCATATTTATTTTAAATTTCAACTGTAAATAAAAAAAGTAATTTAAATTTTATATGTACAATTATTTTAAGCAAAAAACATTTGTCGTTTTAAAAAATGATAGGCAGTAAATTTTAAATTTTTCATAAATTTACATTAGAAATTCTAGTTATCCACATTTAGCATAAATTTTTTTAAAAATTTTCTTAAAAAATGATATTCCCGTGAATTAAAATTATGAATAAAAATCATATAAAATAATACTTGAATTCCTAGTTCGTGGGAAAATTTTAAATAATTTACAGAGCATAAATAATTCTGTGTTAATATTTTTAAGATTAAAATATTTATTTTTTAAATATGGAAAAGTGAAACACCACAGAATTTCCTATTTGCATGCCATCTTCATGAAATCGTATGATTATTTGGCAAGTTTTATTCTCATGAACCGAGCTCCGCAAACAGGCTGGCCGGAGGATGCAATCCTGCTTCCTTCGATGACAGTGTCAGTTTTTGTTGTCCATAAACAAACCGAGGAAAATTGGAGACTAGGCTGTAACTCTCGGTTTCTAAACAACCCCATGAGTCAACGTAGTCATCTAGACTGAATTGTCACTGTGCTGCTGAACCTTCTTTCCTCGCGTACAATATTTGGGAACCGTACCAAAACCTAATAATTTTGATTAAGAAAGAGAGAAATTATATGAAAGATTCGATTTGTATTCAGTTACTACAGATAAATAAATTATGGTTTTAAGACAGAAATTATGGTATTTTTATAATTTTAATTTATTTCAGAGTTATAATAATTTTTATATTTATAATTTTTTAAGATTTCAATACCAAAACGACGTCATTTTGAGAATAAATGCATATAACTTATCTGCAGTAACCGCAAAAATATTATGTTTGTCTTTTTTTTTTAAATAACGAGACTTATATCATTTCATTCTCATAAAGAAGTGAGATCCATATATTTATTTATTTTTGTTCACTTTCTCCCTCTCATGATCTATTTATTTTTCTTACTTAAAATGACACAACTTTATATTTATTTATTTTTTGTTCACTTTCTCTCCGTCATGATCTATTTATTTCTCTTACTTAAAATAACATAACTTTATATCTTTTAAAATGACATATATTTTTTCTTATACAAATTATAACATAATTAAACAAAGGGCTTTACTTCTTTATATTCTAGGAGATAAATTATCTTATTTTATGAAATAAATAAAGTGGGGTTTGCCAATTCTAAAAAAAGATAAAAAAAGGTATATATATATATATATATATATATATATATATATATATATATATATATATTATGTGAATGTAACATAAGAGATGAATCTCATGTAACATGAAAATATTATTTCCCTTAGACAAATTCAACTTAGAAAAAAAATGAGAAACTAAAAAGGGAAGGTAAGGCACTTTAAAAATATTTTGGAATAGCAGTTAATAACTAACATACAAGTGAAAAAATATTATCTGAACCCAAGAACAACATAAAGAGCAGTGGAGGACCCAAGAATTTTGATGAGAGGGAGCGAAAATGAAAAAAAATATTATCTATGTTTCATCATTGCTAAAAGAAGGCTTAAACCTTATAAGCAATTTTCAATTTTTATGAAATAACCATAATATTATAGGAATTTTAATGGTCAGCCAACACACCGAGTCTAATAATATATTAAAAGCCTTAAAATCACGTTAAATAATTGGTTGCTCAAGAGTTATGCAAAAAAGTGAGACATTGAACAACATTAATGGCAACTTTGATCCTTGTTGCCCAAGGAAGTGGTCGTATGCCCCCTGCAAAAGTTCCAGTGTCTATTAAAGCGCAATTTGATAGTATAGTTTGAAACAAATATAGGTCACGTTCAAATAGAGGTGGCAAAGCGGGCTGCCCGCCAAAAAACGGGCTGCCCGCCAAAAAATGGGCTGGGCCGCCCCGCCCCGCCCCGTTTGGGCGGGTGGGGCGGGCTGCCCGCCAAGCCCGTCACATTTTACACTAAAAATTAAAAAAAAAAAATCAGCCCGGGCGGGCTGCGGGTTTAGAAAACTCAGCCCGCCCCGCCCTGTTTGGCGGGCGGGGCGGGCCGGCCCGGCGGGCTCGACCCATTTTGCCAGCTCTACGTCCAAATATATATGAAAACAATTTTAAAAACTATTAAATCACAGTACAGTGAGGTATAGTCACTTGGAGTGTATTAATCTCCTGAAATTTATGCTAATAAAGGTATGTACTCGTAGTATCCAAAAAGCTTGACAAGATTTGGATGATGAAGTTGGCCAAGATAATTGACTTCAAACTGAAAATACATAAATCTATGATAGAATTTGATTATTTTAAATTAAAAAGCATCAGAATTTGAATGTAATCTACCAGCCACTCCTTATGGCCTTCAAAACTTTCAAGTTTAAGTTTCTTCACGACTACAATAATTCCAAATCTAGGCCTTGCAGCCCCAAAGGAATGCTCACAAATCTAGGCCTTGCTATCTTATTGTCTGAGGAGATGAGAATGATAGGTTCTGAGGTACCAACAATGAGGCTTTAGTTGTTAGAGTGAGGAGTGGTGACAAATCAAAGTCTGGTAATAGAGGTAGATCGAGGGGACGATCAAAGTCCTGAGATAAATCTGAAATAAGGTGCTGGAGGTGAAAACAAGTTGGACATTTTAGAAGAAATTGCATAAGCAAAAGCGTAGGTCCTGAGAAGCGGAATGATTCACAACCTTCGGTTCGGGTACTAAGAAGGACGATAATGATAGTACATGGGACCTGTACATGGCATTTGACAGTCATAGTGATTGCAATTAGGGGTGGCAATTTGGGTTGACCCGCCCCGCCACCAACCCGTCAAAAACGGGGCGGGTCGGGTTGACCCGCCAAAAAATATGGGTTGGAAAAATGAACTCATCTCGTTTTATGGTGGGTTGGCGGGTTGACCCGTCAACCCGCTAATTAAAAAAATTAATTAAAATTTAAAAATAAATTATATTTTATGAATTTTTCTAATATTATTTTATTTTATTTCACACTTCTCTATATTTTTCTAGTCTCAATCTTAAATGTATACTAATATTTGTGAAACATTCTTTAGGAATTTATATATAGATAACATTTGTCATAAATAAAATTGTTATTCTTTATTTTTTCTAGGAAGTACTAAGATAAAAAATATTTGGATATCACAAAAATTTAAGGACTAATGAAATACTACCTAATTGTAAAGAAAATATATATATATATATAACCCAGCGGGTCAACCCGTTTTGACCCATTTCTGGGCGGGTTGAGATGGATTGGTGGGTTGAAAACCTCAACCCAACCCGCCCCGTTTTGGCGGGTTGGCGGGTTGACCCGCCGGGCTTAACCCATATTGCACCTCTAATTGCAATGACTGGATTATTGACATTGGAGCATCGTTTCATATGTCACCTCACAAGGAGTGGTTTTGCACATATGAATTATATTCTGGCGGTACAGTTAGAATGGGAGATGACACGACTCATGTTGTTGGTCGTGGGAAGGTAAAGCTGAAGATGAGTGATTGGACAATCAAGAATCTGCCGGGCGTTATGCATATTCCTGGGCTTACCAGAAATCTGATCTCTGTTGGTAGTATGGCAGATGCTGGTATTAATTTCAGCAATAAAAAGTATTATTGCAAGCTGACTCGAGGAGCTTTGGTTATTGCAAGGGGAGAGCGCCAATGTAAATTGGGGAAATTGTTGGGTAGCACAGTATTTAGTGGTGAAAGCTATGTTTCAGAACAGGCGGAGGAGGACACTGCTATGTTATGGCATAGGAGGCTGAGGCATATTGGAGGAAAAGGTCTGGAGACTCTAACATCAAAGAAGCTGGTGGATGGAATTCCGAGCTGCTCTATGGGGTTTGGATTTTGCGAGCATTGCCTGCAAGGAAAGCAAAATCAGGTATCTTTTGATTCCATAGGAGGAAGAGCTGAGGGGATTCTGGACCTGATACACAGCGACGTGTTTGCCCCCACATGGGTGATTCCATAGGAGGAAGAGCTGGGGGGATTCTTTTACTGATGATTTTTCAAGATATGTGTGATTCCACATGGAAGATCAACGACTCTGATTTGTAAGCATGTGACACCATTGATCTTTTTTAATCTAACGACTCTCAGGTGAAATTTGACACTGGTGTCAAACTTTAAAATTTGACACCAAATTCTAACCGTTGATTTCGCCAATCAACGATTATCATTTATTGGGAATCAAACTTATTAATTACTATTAATTTAACTTCGGTGTCAAATGATCCTATCCCTATATATATATGGGGTAGGATCTTTTGACACCGATGTCAAAT